GGGGTTCTTTTGGGATTTTTTTAATGCATTTTGCACACATACCAGTCTTCATATGATACACATTTATTGTACTGTATGTGATTCTATTACTTTTGTGGTTTTCTTTGTATTTGTGGCTACTAATAAAGTCTTAAGTCTGATCAGGTCTTCTTTTATGGCTTTTATTACTTTCTGGATTTGTTTTGTGAGACAGAAATTACTGCACTTTTACATGAATAATCTCAGTTTACCTGTTTATCGCACTCATCTACATTTTAGATGAAGTTCAAATGTGGTTAACGTTAACGTTTAGTACACATGATTAGACATGAAAAGCAATTGAGGTTGTGTAGTTCTTGACTGTTCTTGACTAAAGCACAAAGGTGACCGACTGACTTTTGCCCGTGATGTTAGGCGGCGATCATACCCTCTTAGCCAATTCAGTTTTCACCCACAGCCACCAAAAATCTACAAAATAATTGAATGTGCCAGTTAAATAAGAGCACACTGTGTTGTAACCGGCTTGTTTAGGTCGGACATGGCTGCATGGAAAATGAAAGCGATGTTAAGTTTCGTTTTCCAAATGCACAGCTGCTCTCAGGATATAAACAGAGACGCTCCAGCAGCAGAGCCACATCAGCGACTCATCGCATCAGCTGGAAGCTCTTCAGTCAACAGACAATCGATCAACATGGACACAGGTAACATGGTTTAGTTTAGAATTTGCACCTGTGCTGGTTGTTTGGATCTTGTACTGTAAAACAGAGCGCTTTGCTTTGTGACAGCATCAGCTTAACTTATCGTCTTCTCTTGTCCAGAATGGACCGCTTCTTTATGGTTGGACACATTTAACGAACTGCTGAATGAGGACAATGAGCTGGACTATGGAGACCGGTGGACTCTCAACTTCAACTACAATCAGACAGACAGAGTCACCGAGGAGGAGAGGAGGAGAGGCTGGAAGGTCTCCACATATTGCGCCCGTGGAAAGTATGTGCCGCACGTCCTACATTTATAAACTTTCAAATATGCAGGTCATATGAATACATGAGTGTTTGTTCGCTTTATGTGGCGCTCACAGTATTATTTCAACCAGAGTCGTAGCTATTCAAGTGGAAAGAGCAAGATATAGATGCAAGCGCGTAAAATATATTTGGACCTAACACAGTCTAATCGTTTCTCCACAGTTTTGAGTGTGCATCCTGCACAAGAACCTGGGCTTCAGCGCGGGTAGTGTTGGTGTTCCGGTATCGGCTGCTGAGGGGCCAGGGGACAGTGATCATGCGTCCTTTTGGTCAGGCCTGTCTTCGCTGCAGAGGCAACAAATTCAATCTCCCTGGTTTCGCGGAAAAAGAGGTGGAACAAGCCCTCCTCAGGCAGTTTTACAAAATTCGGAAAAACTGCTACCGCGAGGAAGATGATGATGAAGATAGTGGGAGATCATCATCAGAGTCTGAAGCGAGGACCAAACCCCACGAGAAGAACCTGTGCCAGGCATGCCGCATGGGCATTTGCTGTGTGGATGATGAAGATGATGATTAATGTGTGTGTGTGTGTGTGTGTGTGTGTGTGTGTGTGTGTGTGTGTGTGTGTGTGTGTGTGATGATGTGTGTGTAAGATGATGACTAATGTGTGTGTTTGTGTGTGTGTGTGTGTGGGGGGGGGTTTTCTTTTGGTATTTTTTAATGCATTTTGCACACAAACCTTTCCTTCATATTTTAAAGTTACCAGTCTTTATAGGATACACATTAATTGTACTGTATGTGATTCTATTACTTTTGTGTGATTTTCATTGTATTTGTGGCTAATAATAAAGTCTTAAATCTGATTAAGTCTGATTAAGTCTTCTTTTATGGATTTTATTACTTTCTGGATTTGTTTTGTGAGGCAGAAATTACTGCACTTTTACATGACGCACTCATCTACACTGAAGTTCAAATGTGGTTAACGTTGAAACTACACATGATTTATAAGTGACTACTAGTACACATGATTAAACATGAAAAGCACACACTCACCAAAATTAATCTTTAAAATAATGAAATGTGCCTTGTAGCCAGTTTAATAACAGCATGCTCTGTTGTAACCGGCTTGTTTAGGTCGGACATGGCTGCATGGAAAATGAAAGCGATGTTAAGTTTCGTTTTCCAAACGCACAGCTGCTCTCAGGATGTAAATAGAGACGCTTCGTGCAGCAGAGCAACATTCGCGACTTGATAAGCATCAGTGACTTATCGCATCAGCCAGAAGTTCTTCGGTTTACAGAACAAAACATCAAGAAACATGGCCACATCAACAGGTAACTTTTTTAATGTATTTTTTTTATTTTGCGGCAGTGAAACATTTCTTTTGATTAGGTGTGCATCACTTGCACATCACAGCACACCATTTCTTCTGCTTTTACACAACATTAAATAACACTGATCTCTGTAAAAGTGTATGATTCACTGAGATCATCAGCCTAACTTATTTCCCTCTCCTGTCCAGAATGGACTCCTTCTTTGTGGTATGACACCTTCAATGAACTGCTGGATGATGACAGTGAGCTGGACTATGGAGACCGGTGGACTCTTAAGGTTAACTACAACAAGACAGATGAAATCACTTATGAGGAGAGGAAGAAAGGCTGGAAGGTCTCCACTCACCAAGCAAACGGAAAGTATGTTAACTTATAAACAATAAAAACGTAAACATATGTAAAGTAATAGTTACTGAAAATGTGAAACAACAGCAAGACAACATAAAAATATTAAAAATATATAAAAATATATAAATCCATAGCAACAGCATAGCAAAACCAGAAGAAAAAAAGGAGGCAACATGTTTCAGACTGTGGGTGTAGTTGTAGTTTTCCATCTCCACCTTCTCTCTGATCACATGAGTGTGCAGGTTCTCTGACAAATGATCGTGTGACTGGGAGGAGGTTGCACACAGAATCAAAACAATGTCATTCTGTGATTAAAAAGCTGGTTCTGCTGCTAAATGTAATTTCTTTATGGTGACTCAGAGAACCACACAATAGTGTTTGAGCCACAGACTCATAGGGAGGCTCAGTTACTACATGTGGAAAAAGCAAGCTATAAATGTAAGTACATAAAAATAAATGTGTACCTCACAGCATGTAATCATTTCTCCACAGATTTCAGTGTGTATCCTGCAAAAAAACCTGGGATTCAGCGCAGGTGAGGTTGGTGTTCCGGTACCGGCTGCTGGGGGGCCAAGGGACAGTGATTATGCGTCCTTTTGGTCAGGCCTGTCTTCGCTGTAGAGGTGACAAGTTCAATCTCCCTGGTTTTGACAAGAAAGAGGTGGAACAAGCCCTCCTCAGGCAGTTTTACAAAATTCGGAAAAACTGCTACCATGAGGAGGATGAGGAGAAGGCTGAAGACAATGGAAGACCATCATCAGAGCCTGAAGCGAAGACCAAACCCCACAAGAACCACCTGTGCCAGGCATGCCGTGTGGGCCATTGCTGTGTGGATGACAAGGATGATAACTAGAGTGTGTGTGTGTGTGTGTGTGTGTGTGTGTGTGTGTGTGTGTGTGTGTGTGTGTGTGTGTGTGTGTGCGCGCTAAAAGTGCTCGGAGAAACTGGTTCCTGGGATACTCTGTTTTGCACGTGAAGTTAACAGTTTTAAGAGTACGATCCACATTCATGGTGCAGTATATGATCATATCACTTTTGTGTGCGTTCATTGTATTTTGTGGCTATTAATAAAGTCTGATCAAGTCTTGTTTATGGTGTTTGGTTTGTTATGGATTTGTTTTGTGTGGCAGACATGCTATAAATTGCTGTACTTCGCATTCATCTATAGATCAGATCTTTTTTCCACCCCATTTATTTTCTAGTCATACCAGATACAAGTAAAAACATGAAACCAGAAATGCTGGTATTATACTAAAACGTACATGCCATAGAAGTAACAATGGTCAGTTTTAGCTGTCAGGGACGCTTATGAATGCTCCCAAATTCTAACAGCATGGCAAACCAAGGTACAGCCGGAGTCATACTAAACTGCAGGCTGTAGAGTCAGTCTTGCAAATTCTCCCAGATAAAGTAACTGCATGCAAAGACTTTTCACCCGGAACAAGCAGCAAAAATAAATGCAGAGAGGAGGAAGGAAATCCCCCAGACATGGCCCAGACTCTCGGCACAGAGACAGAGCCCACTGTCACAGCCCTTTCATAGACTCAAGAAATAATCTCATATAGTATGAAGATAAAAGTTACGGTGATTTAGAGATCATTAAAATGTGTTCAGAATTTGGAAAACCGCTGATGATTCATCTCATAGATCACGATCACACTGCTCTCCCTAACATAAACCTTTATAAGTTTGGTATCTGCAATACTGGCCGTGTATTTAGTTGGTATGAGTTCAAGATGTGCACTATCTCACACTAGCAGCACAAGTCGCTAGACGGAACGTGAATTCTAAGTTTCGTTTTCCACACATCACGCATAAATAAACAGAGGCTGCCTACAGAGCAGCATTCACAAGTCAAACTCTCTCTCATGTCAACGTTTCATTTCGTCTCCCAGAAGGTCTCCAAATATCAGACTTTATGTATCAGACCATCGAGATATACAGGTAACACACCAGGCTACTATTTGTTTCTTTAAACGCGTATATGGGTGATTGATTTGCAGTGTTGGGACTAACGCGTTATTAAGTAACGCGTTACAGTAACTACGTTATTATTGCGGTAACGAGCACGGTAACTA